CTGGGTCATTGATTCATCTTCTAGTCGTTGAGTTAGAAGATGTCAATTTTAGTATTTTTAGCTGAACTCAAAATAGAAATTAAGATTATATGGTCTATTGGGTTCAGGTCGATCCTCAGGGATGGCTACCAATTTAAATGCCGAAATTATGCTATCAAATACATACTCTAGTTATAACAACCGTGAAGAAAAAGGCAAGAAGAGAGAGAGGGAGAGAGAGAACTTTAAATAACTACGTTCAACCACAATATTGAAATAAAAAAATGTTTGACCATGGACTAAACTCAGCTGTGAATAAAAGCAGCATTGAATCTTCTTCCTGTCTGTCACACAAGAGCAAAGACAAAATGATGCTGGGGTTCTAAACGCAAACACAGTGTTCTGAAAATCAAAAAAAATAAAAAGAGAGAAACTAAAAATCGACTCTATTACGTGCCTGTCACCCACATCACTAATAAAGCATAAAGTGAAGGTAAAACATGAAACATGCTTGAAATAGCATTAACCAATCTAAAACAGCCAGTGTCCGCAGGTCATGCAGAGGGAGAGGAGATTTCTTGGGATGACAACTCTACTTGCTGCCGCTGGTATCCAACCTGCTATGCACGCCGTCGTCACCGATTTCACCTCCACTTGTCACTCAGGAGGTGAGCTCGTCGATGTCGTGGGATTTCACATCCTCCGTCGTGCTGCAGGTTGCCGCAGCAACACCGTCTCACCGCCTGCTACCACTGCTCTGTTCCGTCACCTAGGAGATGAGCGAAAACTCACAGGCATGTTGCCGTCGTCGACCCCCTTTTCCCTCTGCTGCTGGCCTGCTGTCTTACCCCACAGACCCTGCAAACAGGGGATACCTTTTGTGCCCTAGCTCCTCCGCCGGCCCCATTCTATCCTTCATAGCGGGCTTTATACTGAGCTTCTTTCCAATCTTCTTACTGGTCCATTACTGACGCGATTACTTGGCCCCTTTCTCCAAACTTTGAAGCTGGTTAATGGGCGTCTTTCTGCAACCAGTTCATAATTAAATCAGGAAGATTTTCCAACATTTCAAAAAAAAAAAATCACCAAGAAATGATCTGTCTAATGAGTGTAACTTTAAACTTTATATTCAAGTGTAGGTTAAAAGAGATAAAATGTTTATTTAACCCAAGAATCCATGCGACGCAATTGAAAACCCAATTTAGCATTTTCACTTAATTTGGTTGCTTTTGTTAATGATTAAAACTCTTATTTCCCAAAAATCTATATTAATCATCATCTGAAGATGATGCATCAAGAGTCATGTGTTACGTTGGGGGCCACGAAATAGTTACCTAGTCCATGGGATACCGCAAACGACACACGATATATACTTATATATCTACGGCGAGGGCATCGTGCTGACAGTGCAAGAATCTATCTAATTCAATAGAAACCTGCGCACTGCTTTTCGGAAGTAACATCTTCGAATTGGCTTCCTTCACCCCGCTCCCCCAAGCGGACCTGTAATCGTCCGGTCAGGGAACTCCGACGGTCGAACACGGGTTCTTACGTGGGTGTCCCAACTTTCCGGCGGCGGGACTTCTGCGGGCACCGGCCGTTGATTTTGCCTCTTTTCAAGACGCCGACAAACTCCTGCCGTCGTTTGCGGGGAAATGTGATGTGGTTTCCGGGTGTGCAAAGAAAGTGAGCTGGTCATTCCCCATCACGGCTGTGCTCGCCCATCAGAATTCCGCCGTCTGAAACGGAGATGCGGTGTCTCCTTGCTGATCCCCGTCCCTCTTCATTTCTCTTCCGGAAGAGGGGAGAAGGATGCAGGAGGTTAGAGACGATATAGCGGAAAAGCTGAGTTCAGCAGACTCCAGATCAATGGCTGTGCTTTCTTTCTCCGTCTCATCCTTCTTATATGGAAAATATTGCCGTCCCACCTGATGGCGGCGGTGGTGCGCGACGTACTTGCGCCCGGCAATGTGATCACCGGGAACCAGACTCTTCAAAAGAAATATTTTCATATTTAAGTACACCCGTTCGTTATTTCCAATGGTTGCTTACCCATCATCTATTGACTTGACTGAAGATAGCTATCCTCAATCTCAAGTCATATCTTGAGTTCATGTTGTGCAAGTATCATAATGAAATTGCCCATCGGAGATCTCCCTGAAAATAATTTAAGTTTTTAATATGGGAACCGAAATTTGAATTTAACTACACTACTCATAGATATTATATATAACATGTTTGAGGCCATTTTTTATTTATAAGATACTCTTTGCTGATTTAGAATTTAATCCTAATCATTCATTTCTAATGGACAGTTTTTGACATTCAATCAATATATTTAACGCCTTTTGCAGCCACATAAGTTTTCATAAAATTATTTTGGATCATAATTTTTTTCTATTTTAAGATCCTTATATTTTTAATCTTTTATTTTAGCGTTTATGTCTTCCTTTCCTTTCTTATGTTATAAATTATATTCTCATGAATAATACACCTCACGACTTAATTAAATAAATGTTTTCAGATCTTTGACTTCAGGTTTCTCATCCCTTCTAATTTGGGTTCAACAAATGTTTCTACTGTCAATGAATCAATATCTTGTTGGACATCATTGGCCATGGGCAAAAAAAAAATTCAAGAATACTCTCTTGGAGTTCTTTATCCTTTTAGCCAAGAATATTCCTAAAGATGTTATGTTCATCTTCTAGTTTTTCAAATACGATTTTATGGTGTTTTGTATATTTTCAAGAACTTGAACTGATTTCTTCAATTTGAAATTTTCTCCACGTGAGACTTTATGTGTTATAGTGTTCAATGCATTCATCAAGATATTTAACTAATTGATCTTTAGATATAGAGTAAATATGAGAATCATATACCTAGTGTATTCTTTCATGATGCACATATTTCTTTTTGTCTTTTTCATTCGACCTAGAGTTACTTTCACTCCACCATGGCTTTCCTCTTTCACCTTATTTGAAGTCACTTGATATAGAAAATTGAAACTCTATGATTTACACATGAGATGATAACATCTTTACCTCACACAGACATGTTTTTCATAATTAGGTCCATAACATCTAACGCTCATATCAATTATGAGAATTTGAAATAGAATAAGATATATTCTATGATCTAAGACCTTTGATCATTACTGAAATAAAATGAACTCTTCAACATTATTAATTTAGCAATCTTCTTTTCAACTTACAATACATCTATCAATTTAACGATTTTTACTAATATTTAGAAATCATTAAAAACATCATGAGTTAATCCTTAACTCAACACAAAGAACTCAAGTTCATTTCCTTAGACAGTCTGCCCTTCTCTAGCTAACCACAACTACCAACACCTTGTGTCTTTACTCCAAAAACTCTCCTCAGCACCCATTAACCTTGACACCTCATGAAGAACAAAAGCATGATGGTTGTTTTAATTGGTTATTGAAATCAACTGATGAAGAGAATGCATGTTCATGTACATGATTGATGTGTGCAGCAGGAAGAGGTTCATTGTGAACCTTGAAACTCATTGTATTTAATTAATATTAAATTAGGAACTCTTCTTCTATATATAAGACTTTATCTTATATTAGTTTCCTTATTTCATCAGATCTTAAGTGCCTTATGTGTAGTAATGACATTTGAACCTTCAAAATCTTCCTTCAAAAACTAATCATTTAGTGGAGTATTTAGTAATGACATTTGAACCTTCAAAATATTCCTTCAAAAATTAATCATTTTGTGGAATATGTAGTAATGACATCTGAACCTTCGAAATATTCCATCAAAAACTAATTATTTTGCAGAATATTTAGTAATGACATTTGAACCTTCAAATCTTTCTTCAAAAACTAATCATTTTGTTGAATAAGTAGTAATGACATTTGTACCTTCTAATCTTTGAATCTTCTTACTTCATAGTATTGCCATTGAAATTTGTGCTAGAGTTTTCTAACTTGATCAAGAATAGTTGGATGCCCACATTGTATTTATTGGTGATATATAATATATGTGAAAAATATTATAATTAAGATGTTTATTTCATTGAGATACTATATGTAATACATTTTATAAACATTAAAATGAGTGCATTGATATAAAGGACATAAGAAAATAAAAAGGTAATGCCAACTTACCCATGAAGTGGCATTACCCTCACTCTTGATTTAGTGTTTAGTTGTGACAAATACCTTTCAAAATATCTTGTTTAGTTGGCTCTATCTTCAAATTTATATTAAACCTTGAAGTAAATGTTAAATTCAAAAGTAGTCAACATGGCTGCCTCATTTTCAGTGAGAGTGATCAAAGCCTGTCATTTCAGATCTAGTCCCTATTACTTTGCAGGTTTGGCTCCCTGATATTCAAGGCGATGGTTGAAGAGTAAGAAGAGACAGACATAATTTCTTTCTCATTTAGGAGGCGAATTCCTTATGGGCACTCACGTAGCTGGGCCCGCACATGGGTATAACTCGGTCCGTGGGAGAACTCCAAGGGATGAGGAGAGAAGTCAGAGCACCTGGTGCGGCCCCGAGTCCTTCGAAGAATCCGGACCCCGAGGGCATTTCATGAACTTCCTCGGCACGGATATAGAGAGGGCCTCATGGATTAGTATCGCTACCCCTCGCCACGTCTCTTCCTCTTGCGAACTCTTCATTTGGCAGGGAGTCCCACAAGTAGAAGGCGAGTTGCACCCTGTCGCAAGTATCGAGTAGCTTCCAGCGTTTACTCCGGAACCAGAAACCCCAATTCTCCAGAATCCGCGGTCCAGGGGGGTGCCAGCCGACGATTATCAAACGGCCCATAGGGCGACTTGGGGAAGGGAAAATCTCCAAGCATCTGAAGCCAGACACAGGCCGCCAGGTATAAGAGGAAGGCCAGTGCGTAATATTATCATTACAGTAATGAGACAACTCTACACATCAAATTTCTAGACCACCCATGTCTTGATACGAATAATCGTAAGAGAATCACAACTCACACTCAGCTTGACAGTCTGCACCACAGCGCATTTTCCGTTCAACGCCCTTCCAACGTACTCTCGCTCAACCCATAAATGGATGATCTCGGCGATCTGTCAGCACGGACCCTGAGATTTCTTCCAAACGAAAAACCAGGCTGCTTCGGCAATGGCAACGCACAGCTTTCACTTGTCAGAATAGAAACGACAAAATTCATAGTGGGTCTGTCCGCCGGATTTTCCTCGATGCACAGTAATCCCACTTGAATGCACTTCAGCACTTCGTCGGCCTGGAATGATCTCTTAATTGCACGGTCCAGGAGTTCCATGGCTCTGCCTTCTTTCCATAGCTGCCACGCCTGCACCATTCAGTCGAGAGCACATTGAAGTTGAAGGAAGGGGAAACCGTTTAATAAAAATCCGTCGAACTACATTATTCCGAAACGATTCTTATGACTGAATCTCATCAGGAAGCAAAGCAGGTGGCCGGAACTCACATATCCCAGAAGATTCAGTGACTCCCTGCAAGGATAATACCCCGTGCATCTTTTCCCACTGATGACTTCCAAGACGATCACGCCGAAGCTGAAGACGTCAGATTTCTCAGAGAAGACGCCGTCTATGGCGTACTCCGGCGACATGTATCCACTGCACCCACAGCCCGAAATTCAGCGAGATTAGTCACGATAGGAGGATGAAACTGATAGAAGATTCGGAACTTGATTAGAACCTACAACGTTCCGACGATCTTCCTAGTATTTCCTTCGGTCTGGTTTATTTCAAATATTCTTGCCAACCCAAAGTCTGAGATCTTGGGGTTCATCTCGTTGTCGAGCAGTATATTACTCGTCTTCAGATCTCTGTGTATGACGCGCATTCTAGAGTGGTGATGCAGATAGAGAAGCCCATCCGCTATCCCCATGATGATCGTCAAACGCTTCTCCCAACTGAGTTCCACCGATCTTGCTGTTTCCCAGTAGTAAAACCAAAAAGCATTAATTATTTACGAAAATAGCGAAGCTTGAATCCTTCCCGGCAGAATCGGAATCATAAAAGTCCAGTGAAGACAAACCCACCGAATACGAGCTTGTCGAGGCTCTTATTGGGCATGTATTCGTAGATCAGAATCTTCTCGTCTTGGTCGGTGCACCAGCCCAGAAGACGAACGAGATTCTTGTGTTGCAGCCTGGCGATGAGTCTGACTTCATTGGCGAACTCGTGATGGCCTTGCTTGGAGCCCCTGGAGAGCCTCTTAACAGCTACCTCATGCCCATTTCCCAGCTTCCCCTGAATAGAGACTCATATATACGCATACCAATATAAATAGACATGGATTGACATATACATGGAGAGTGAAAGAAAGGTGGAGAGAGCTCGAGAGAAAGCGAGAGTTCATCCTACGCGGTTGCGATTTATAAACTATGAACTACTTCATGAACAGGTTGAACTATGAGGAGTGACTGGTAATAACCTTGTAAACGGAACCAAATCCCCCTTCGCCGAGCTTGTTGGCGACTGAGAAATCACAGGTAGCACAGCGAACACTCCTGAATTCCACCATGGGTGCTTCTGAGAAGCTTTTGTCTCTTCCAAATGCATCAGAGAAGTCAATGTCCTCTAACGCCGTGGTCCACCTGGCCGTCCTCTTCCGCGCTTCAAGACATACTTGTTTGTCAGTTCCGCTACTCGTTCTTGGCTCAAGAAAATAACATTCAGGGAAACTTATTACCTCGTGATCTGAGTCTCTTCACTAGGAAATAGGAACCAGCTCCTACCAATAGTGCACCGACAGCTAGTACCGGTGGCAGGAACTTCATTGGATTTTGGTTCTCATCTGCGAGCAGGATGAGGGAATAATGGTGGATTATTATGTGGATTCTCCGATAGTGAAGTCAAGGATATATTTAAATCAAGCTTACCGAGCTCTGACGCCACCAGCCGTATGTTCAGGTTCTCCCAGTAAATGTTATCGTCGATCTCAAGATCTATGAGATCTCCGTACCAAACCAGGCACATGTAGCCGTGTGACTCTACGCTCGTGTTTGCATAAGCGTAAGCGATGCATTGGCAGTTGGAGATGCAGTCTGCCCGGCACTCGAATTCCGTTTTCTTCTCTATCGTCCTCAACGTATCCGGCAGCTTGACCCTTTTCACTGCCAGGAACTTGTCACTTTTGCTGCACTGGAGCGGAACCCTCCTGACGCAGCCATTGGAGAAGGTTCTCTTCTCCCACTCGGTCTGGTTCTTCGGAACAAACCCCTGTAGGCATATGCAGGTCGGCGGTTCCGCGTTGCAATTGCAGACTCCCGACGGCCCGCAGAGATTATAGACGTCGCAGAAACAGGTTGGTCTTATCCACAACGGGCGCCACTCACTCCATGCCTCCTCCCACACCATCATCTTTAGTTCTCCGGAAGGCTCCAGAGTACACCTCGCCGGGGCTGTGCCCCCAACGGTTTTGAAGCTCCAAGAGACTTCGTCTGCGACCCACGTGACCCAGACCACGCACTGAACTCTACTTGGAGAGCTTTCATGCCAGGCAACGAGCCTAGTACTTCC